TTTTTTTAGTTGCTGGTTGGTGATTTCAACTGGTGTAATTTGTTTGTATTTTGCAGGACGCCGCAATTTTTTGTTTTGGCTGGAAATCCCACGTGGAGCTTTACGAGCAGTTTCTGATCTATATTCATTTGAAAAATATATACACATCATGCCCTAGAAAAAAAATGCAAGTACTCTCGGGAACCCTCTACCTACTTCTATTACTCGCTAACGAGTTCCTATAGTGGGATGCATCCCAATGGGCTGTTGTGTAGATTAGAAATCCTCAAATACCTGATTGGAGAAGTTCTTCGAGAGCATGTTCTTTTCATTATTTTCTATTTACTCTATTTTATACACATAGAGACAAACATATGGTTCACTTTGTTCCTTTAAGAATCATCCAGCTAAATTGTTGTTCGAATGCAGCTACTGGTATGATCCCTTTGGCCTCAGCAAGAAACCTGAAGACATTGCCAAGTAAGTGTCCCCTCTAACTCACATTTTTATGATCTTGCTGCAAAACTACAGTGAGAGTGAGACTTTGGAGTTTTTTGCATATAGATATCAATCGTATGAGCTCATCCAAGCTATATGGTTCAAGGTATGTACATCTTTGTATTTACGAGTTGTCAGCAGATTCTTGAAAAAGTAATTTTTCTTTATTTCAACATATGTTCTGTTGCAGTGAATTGGAACTCTTATTTACAATTTTGTGCGGTAGTCCTATCCTTATGCCAAATGAAGCAATGATAATATATTAGTAATCCCACTATGAAAGCATTTGTGTTTTAAACTTACAATTGATTTATGCTTTCTCATGATCGTCGTTGCAGACTGGTCCCTTTCTTCTTGAAGGATGTCCAAGAAGATCGTGGGATGCTGCAACAGGAAGGGAAGCGGCTGCAGTTTTTCTTGATGAAGATGGATGAAGTTATGGATGGGAGGAATAGTATGTGGGAGGGAAAAAGAAGAATATTGTTGTGAGATTATCTTTATTGAAGGGCGGAACAGGTCCATAAGCGTAAGGTGTAGATATGATCTTTTTATTTATTTTTTATTTTTCTTAAGATCTTTTTTTATGGAGAATATTCTGTATCAAAACTCGGAATATGGATTTTCAGATCATAACTTTTTGCAAGACTATTTCCTTCTCTTGCAATTGTTATCTAATTCATAATTTTTGGATTATATAATCAAACAAGCATTATACCAAAATAGTATTCCTTTTCCAGATCATAATGCTTATAATATTTTACATCATTAAATTAAAAATTAACTTATAATTGTTACAGGTGGTGTCATGTCAATGGACCCTTTCTTGAGGAATTTTTTTCCAGTGGTGTATAAGAGGACACAAGATCCACATCTAGACATTAGTTACTGCAGGTATGACAATCAAAGGCTGCAATTATTCACGTCGTCCTTTTATCTAACTAGTTTAACAGCCACATTTTTCGCTTCTTACACAACGAGAAGGCTCGGCCGCAGTTAACTATGTTGATTGCCGGTTTATTCTTTATAGTAGGGGTCGTACTTAATGCGGCTGCCCAGGACCTGGCCATGTTCATCATTGGCCTGATTTTATTAGGCTGTATAGTAGGTTTTGCTGACTAGGTACGATGATTCAATGCCTAATTTGTATAGAGGCACATAAACTTCTGCGACATAACAGCTCAATTGTTTTTTTTTTTTT